AGAAAACCTCAGGCCAATATCCATGATGAACATAGATGCAAAAATCTTCAATAAAATACTGGCAAACCGATTGCAACAGCACATCAAAAAAAACTTATCCATCATGATCAAGTAGGATTCATCCCGGGGATGCAAGGCTGGTTCAACATACGCAAGTCTATCAACGTAATTCACCACATAAACAGAACCAAAAACAAAAACCACGATTATCTCAATTGATTCAGAGAAGGCCTTTGACAAAATTCAACAGCCCTTTATGCTAAAACCCCTCAATAAACTCGGTATTGATGGAATGTATTTCAAAATAATAAAAGCTATTTATGACAAACCAACAGCCAATATCATACTGAATGGGCAAAAACTGGAAGCATTCCCTTTGAAATCAGGCACTAGACAAGGATGCCCTCTCTCACCACTCCTATTCAATATAGTACTGGAAGTTCTAGCCAGAGCAATCAGGCAAGAAAAAGAAATAAAGGGTATTCAAACAGGAAAGGAGGAAGCCACATTGTCTCTGTTTGCAGATGACATGATAGTATATCGAGAAGACCCCATTGTCTCAGCCCAAAAACTCCTGAAACTGATAAGCAACTTCAGCAAAGTCTGAGGATATAAAGTAAATGTGCAAAAATCACAAGCATTCCTATACACCAATGACAGACTTAAAGAGAGCCAAATCAAGAACGAACTGCCATTCATAATTGCTACAAAAAGAATAAAATACCTAGGAATACAACTTACAAGGAACGTAAGGTACCTCTTCAAGGAAAACTACAAACCACTGCTCAACGAAATAAGAGAAGACACAGATGGAGAAACATTCCATGTTCTGGTTAGGAAGAATCAATATCATGAAAATGGCCATACTGCCCAAAGTAATTTACAGACTCAACACTATCCCCATCAAGCTACCATTGACTTTCTTCACAGAACTGGAAAAAACCACCTTGAACTTCATATGGAACCAAAGAGAGCCCACATAGCCAAGTCAATTCTAAGCAAAAACAACACAGCGGGAGGCATCACACTACCGGACTTCAAACTATACTACAAGGCTACAGTAATCAAAACAGCATGGTACTGGTACCAAAACAGAGATATAGACCATTGAAACAGAATAGAGGCATCAGAGGCAACACAACATATCACCAACCATACAATCTTTGATAAACCTGACAAAAACAAGCAATGGGGAAAGGACTCCCTGTATAATAAATGGTGTTGGGAAAACTGGCTAGCCATGTGCAGAAAGCAGAAACTGGACCCCTTCCTGACACCTTACACTAAAATTAACTCCAGATGAGTTAAAGACTTTAACATAAGACCTGGCACCATAAAAACCCTAGAAGAAAATCTAGGCAAAACCGTTCAGGACATAGGAGTAGGCAAGGACTTCATGACCAAAACACCAAAAGCATTGGCAACAAAAGCCAAAATAGACAAATGGGACCTAATCAAACTCCACAGCTTCTGCATGGCAAAAGTAACAGTCACTAGAGTGAATTGGCAACCAACAGAATGGGAAAAAATTTTTACCCATCTGACAAAGGGCTGATATCCAAAATTTACAAAGAACTCAAACAGATTTACAAGAAAAAAACAAACAAGCCCATTCAAAAATGGGCAAAGGATATGAACAGACACTTTACAAAAGAAGACATACATGAGGCCAACAAACATTATGAAAAAATGCTCGTCATCACTGGTCATCAGAGAAATGCAAATCAAAACTACATTGAGATACCATCTCATGCCAGTTAGAATGGGGATCATTAAAAAATCTGGAAACAACAGATGCTGGAGAGGATGTGGAGAAATAGGAACACTTTTACACTGCTGATGGGAGTGTAAATTAGTTCAACCATTGTGGAAGACAGTGTGGCGATTCCTCAAGGACCTAGAAATAGAAATTCCATTTGACCCAGCAATCCCATTACTGGGTATATATCCAAAGGACTATAAATCGTTCTACTATAAGGACACATGCACACGAATGTTCATTGCACCACTGTTTACAATAGCAAAGACTTGGAACCAACCCAAATGCTCATCGATGATAGACTGGATTGGGAAAATGTGGCACATGTACACCATGGAATATTATGTAGCAATCAAAAATGATGAGTTTATGTCCTTTGTAGGGACATGGATGAATCTGGAGAACATCATTCTCAGCAAACTGACACAAGAACAGAAAATGAAATACCACATATTCTCACTCATAGGTGGGTGATGAACAATGAGAACACATGGACACAGGGAAGGGAGCACTACACACTGGGGTCTATTGGGGGAATAGGGGAGGGACAGTGGTGGGAGGAGCTGGGGAGGGATAGCATGGGGAGAAATGCCAAATGTGGGTGAAGGGGAGGAAGGCAGCAAAACACACTGCCATGAGTGTACCTATGCAACTATCTTGCATGTTCTGCACATGTACCCCAAAACCTAAAATGCAATTAAAAAAAGGGATAAAATTGTTCTTAGGAAGGATACTCTTAATGGCATTCCTTTTAAGGCAAGCACCTTGTTTCAATATATTTCCTGTTTAGTGTTTTTTAAATGACTTTGAGAACTACTTATAAGATGAGGAAGCCTTTTGTCTCTCAGGATGATTTTCTGATTTAACTGGTTTATCCTGTCCAACATGCTCATATAGGTCTCAATCTGTTATAGCAGCTATACCAAAATACCATGAACTGGTATTTTGTATCAACAAATTTATTTCTTCAGACTGGACTGCCCAAAATCAGGGTGTGGGCAGATGTGGTGTCTGATGAGGGCCCACTTTCTAGACTGACATGTGTTCACTGTAACCTTATGTGGCGGGAGGGACAAGTTGGCTCTGTGGGGTCTCTTCTATGAGGGCACTAATCGCAATCACCAGGGCTCTGCCCTCATGAACTAATCACCTCCCAAAGGCACCACCACCACCTAAAACCATCACCTTGGAGGTCAGGACTTCAACACATAAATTCTGAAGGGATGTAAACATTCAGACCATAGAAATATAGTAAACATTTTTATAATGTTCAACTTTACACTAAAAGGAAGTGCTTCAGAATGCAGAGAGAACAGGAGGAAAGTACATATCTCATTCCCACACACACGCACCCGCCCCTTTCCTCCCTTGACTCCTCATCAGAGCACTAATCTACCAAGAATTGAAATAAATGTGGTCGGAGTAAATAGGGGTCCCTTGGGCCTCAAAGAAAGAATGTGGTAGCAAGCACAAACTAATGTAATTTGTGATTCAGGTCATGAGTGTCCAGAGCCACCTCCTATCAGGGAGGTATGGCAAGAACAGTCACATAACTGAGACTAGGGAGAGAGGAGCAGAGGGTGGGACATACTCCTGCAACCAGCTCCATCCCTCTATAATTAAATTGGGACTTGGGGTAAAAGAAATAGGTTAAAGGTGAAGACAGCAGCTTGGCATGAGTGAGCAGTATTATGCAAGCAGAGATGAGGAAACAAATGAGAGATAGCAGGACCAGGTGTCCTGGGAATGAGAATCTCCTGATTAGAGTCTCCCATGCTGAGCATTTGGGGTGGGACGAGTTGGTCAAACCAAACCCAATACTATCTAGCACTCCAAGAGGCTAAGACAGGAGGATGACTGGAGGCCAGGAGATTGAGATCAGCCTGGCAACATGACGAGACCCCATCTCTCCAAAAAAAAAATAATAAGGAATTGGATGGGTACGGTGGTTCATGACTGTAGTGCCAGCTATTCAGGAGGCTGAGTGGGAGGATTGCTTCAGCCCATGAATCAGAGGTTACAGTGAGCTATGATCATGCCACTGCACTACAGCCTGGGCAACAAAGAGAGACCCTATCTCTACAAATAAAACAAAATAAAAACACATTATAGATTTGCTAAGACTAGTGGAAAAGGCAGAAACAAACAAATAAAATGAAAGGGTGGAATCTCTTTAACCCCCTTTTAAACTATTAATAAAACCTTTCTTTTCTCTTCATCTTCCTACATTACTAGGACTTCACAGCAGTCCCATGCTTCTGCCTGGAAACACAGCTCATCAGTTTATTTTTAAGGTATGCTTCTTAGGACCAAAACCTAGAACCACTAACCTAGCCCCCAATCTGCCCTCTTGCTCCCAGTGAGTAACTGTGACCTTAAACACAACAGCTTTTCCCCAGCTTTCTAGGCCTGCCCTGCCCTTCACAGATACAAAAGAATCAAATGGAAATTAAAGGTGGCAGCGCCTTCATCTCCCTGCTGCTGGAAGCTGAGATTTCCCAGTCTACACCAAGCTATGATTAACAGGCAGCAATGCCAAAAACAACAAAGGAGCTTCAAGGAAACTGTGCAAAAAATTCCCCCCAGTTCTAACTACATACATACTCTTTTCTACTCACCCCACCCCATTCTCCCTTTGTATTCCAAAACTCTTCTGAAGCTACCAGGTTGCATAAAGACACTAACAGCTACAGCTTAATGTTCAGAGGTTGATGGAGACCACAGAGTGGGCCAATACACATCACTCTTCAGAAACAAAAAAGCTATATTCAGAACCAGAAGGAAATTAGATAATCCTAGCTCACATTACTTAATGGTTTTAAGACTGGAAATTTGCGTGTGTGTGCGCATGCACGCTCATTTTGAGGGAGTAATAGTGCAAATAAAGTAAAAGCAGCTCTCAGCCTCTCTAAAGATCATCTGCAAGACCTCCCCCAGTACAGCCTGCTCTGAGGCACAGCGCCAAGTACTAGTTCTGGGAGGTTTAAGCAGAGCACCGTAAGTCTCTCCTATCTTCAGGTAACTTCCTTCTTCAAAGAGCATTCCTTAGAATTGCCATAGTATGATGCTCAGTGATCACTTACCCATGTAGGAAAGATTCTCCAGAAAACCCACCCTACCGCCTTACCCTCCCCTCCCCTCCCCTGCCAATTTGCAATCTCTTTTGGAACCACCATAATACTTGGGCAGCAGATCTTTAGTCATGTGTCTGTGCTTTTGTTTCTCACTGTAAAGGGCTTACCTTCATAAGAGGCAATGCAGTGTCTTCTGTTACAAGAGTTATTCCAGGAATTTCCTATAGTGGGGAAAACACACACAGCTGCTTAATGTGTGAACTACCCCTAGCTCAAGGTTTCAGGAAGTGTTTTCTGTACAGACAGAAGCTGAGGGCAGCTTCCAGTTTCTAACCTCTACTTTAAATAAACCTTGGAGCACACAAATAACAGTGAATATAGCCTATCTCTTGCCTCAGGAAGGGACATATTCTTTAAAGTCACAATAGTTGATAGGGTCTCTGAAGGAAAGGAGAAGACTATTATGAAGAAATAGAGGGTACTTTTATTCATTTCTATTAAAGAACAAACGAGGCAAATTATGTTTGCACCAAATGTGATAAAGGGGGAAAGTTTCATTATCAATATCCTTCCTCTCTCTTCTTCTTTCACTTAAATGTATTATAGTTAGCCCCTACCTCACTAGAAGGAACCAAGACTAACTGGATTCTTGCATGACTTGACTGGATCATTTTTCTGTACCTCATTGTCCTCTGTAATTTCAGAGGTAAGAGCCCCCATAAAAAGTTTCTGCAGCAGCTAGGTGCAGTGGCTCATGCCTGTAATCCCAGCACTTTGGGAGGCCAAGGCTGGCAGATCACTTTAGATCAGGAGTTCAAGACCAGCCTGGCCAACATGGTGAAACCCCATCTCTACTAAAAAAACAAAAAACTTAGCCAGGCATGGTGGTGGGTGGCTGTATTTCCAGCTACTCAGGAGGCTGAAGCAGGAAAATCACTAGAACCTGAGAGGCAGAGGTTGCAGTGAACTGAGATTGCACCATTGCACTCCAGCCTGGACGACAGAGTGAGACTCCATCTCCAAAGGAAAAAAAGAATTTCTGCAGCACTATCATCATAGCAAATCTGAAAGGTGAACAATTCATTTCAGGAAGGGCAAATGATAGTATTCTACTAACTAGTGAGCATTAAAACAGAAATTTAATAAAAATATAAATGAATAAAATTTCAAGATGGCCCTTTATTCACTATTTTGAAAATTGTATCTGTATGTTAATTATGTAATTTGCTTCTCATCTGGTCAAATCAGCTTTCATTTCCTTAAAAAAAAGTAGGTAGTGTGTAAGAAAATATTTCAGGAGATATAATGAAGAAATAAAAATTAGTATTTGTCTAGAACTTAAATGACCTGGATTTTACTGATATAGAATATTCCTGTGAAAAACGGTATCACAGTGATAGAGAAAAATGTTCAGAACATGCGGACAACTGAGTTCTTCATTGTGACAGTAGAAAGCCGTGATATGAATCTATTGTAAGCTTCATTTATCATTATACAGGATACCTCAAAAAAATTAAAATTTCTTATGGTTTTAGGTTATAAATAGCATTTTAAATGTGGTAATACAGTTGTTTGCAAAACATAATTCAAGATTATGTGTAAAGGCATCATATTTTCTATTATCTTAAAAAATCCAGTTGTCTCCTATGAATGTGTGAAATCCATGTTTTCTCCTATGGCAACTTTTTATTAAGGCTGTAGCATTAAGAACATCTGCAGATTAGATTAAGAGAAAAATAAATTATATCATAGCTGATGATAAGGATAGACTCAGATTTTCAAGATTAGAAGAGACCTTTAAGGTAACCTAGTCCAACCACTACAAGAAGTTTAAAGCAACATGGCAAAGCTCAAGGTTAGTTCAGTACAGGGAGGTTGTAACTGCAGGTTTATGTCGCACTTCCTGTGGGACCTTCTAATGTCACCCTGTGCCTGTTCATGACAGCTGCACCGCCCTGGACAATCTTGAGAAGTGCAAAAGGGAAGCATTGCCCTCAGGGTGATATTCTCACATCACATCCAATTAACATGTGGATCAATCTTTTAACACAACCCTGGGAACTAGTGGTCCCAGGTGCCTCCTGGACACTTTGAACACAGGACATAACAGCAGGGGGTTGGCAGGGGAGGGAGCGGAGATGTGCATTTCCTGACTCCAGGGTGGTATAACCTGCAGACTTCCTGCCATGACCACAGGGTCTGCATGTCTATTCTCATGTGCTCCGAAAGAAAAATGGGAGTGCCTAGAGAGGAAACAAGCTCAGGCCTTTCCCTTAGAATTCTAATGTGAGGCATAAAAATCTAATAACCATGATAGTAAAAAACAAAGAAAGGGACTTTAGGAAAGCACTGCCACTGTGCATACCAAAAATTTATAAATTAATCAAACACATTTGATATATCTTTTTTAAGGACTATATTTAGACAGAGTCTAAACATAAAAGCCATCATTTATCCTAGTACATAGTTTCCTATGATTGTGTTATTTAAATTCAATTTATTTTTCTAAATACCTTTTTGATATAAACTTCTGCCTCCAAAGCAAGCATGTAGTTCTAGTATCTAAGTAAGAAACAAGAAGCACAACTTTTTCAGGTACGGCCTATGCATGGTTTTTACTTGCTGGGCCAGCAAAGGTCTACTGCATCACATTCAAGAGAAAATGAGCAGTATTTTAGGTCAGCACATCCTCATTTAAAAGGAGGCAGTCCAAACAGACAGGAAGGAAAGGTCAAATGAGGTTAGTGTGCCTAAGATTCCTGACTTTTACTGATCCTGAAACTCTAGAGTTATTACAGATTTTTAATGGGGCTGAAAAGAGGGTTCATGAAGGTTGTTATCTACCAAGTATAATAGCAGCGATCCAGCCATTCCTCACATATATAAACTAGTACATATTTCAATCCAGTCTAGTCACTTAGAAAATAAAAATACCACGATAGAGGTTTAGTTCTGCCTGGTAGTAGAAAGAATAATAAATACACTGCGTGCCTGCTCCTTCGATTTTACTGTTTTTATACAAATGCTTTTGGCCAGTGGCAGGGATTCACTATTACTTTCATGCCAAAAAAAAAAAAATCCACCTCAGTTCTTTATCGGTGGAAACAGTAGTGAAATCATGACCTTGATGGCTATAAGAAGGATGTGCAACAACTAACCCACAATTGTGTATTGATTTTATTTGCAGATAGCATACACAGTGTTAACTTACTGTATTCCAAGTGAGCACTGAGGAATGTGGCAATAGTTTGTCCACATTACTTGTCTCTGAATATACACTCCAGTATGAAGAAGCTGCATAGATTTTTAAAAAGGAGAAGGGGAGATATGGTTTAATATAACAAAGACAGTCAGCATTCTAATTCAACCAAAACAAGCAAACCAACCAAGTATTCATTGTCTTATCCCTCATCCTCAAATAGGTAACCATTATGATTTTAGCTACTGACTAAAATGTTCAGGTTCTGCTTTTTACAATGAGAACAATAATTTAGTACTATATCTACTCAAATGACATTATATCACCTCATACAAAACCAGCCAACACAAAACTGGGCTAAGAAAGTAACATCTTACTGGAAAAAAAAAAAAATCACTAATAAGGTTATAGAATCGAGATCCTATCTTGTATCTCATCAATCTCTGTACAGCCATAGCTTCTCAGAAAACCACAAGAGAATGAAATTTAATTAGCTGCTGACTACAATAGCATTTAAAAAAGATGTTCTCCTAAGCAGCATTTGGACAGATTGAGGCATTCATTATCAATTACTGCTTTCCCTCAAGCAAAAAGGTCAACTATTCAACTTAAGGTGCAACATCAGCAACACTTACCAATTATAAATTCCTGAATGAGGTCAAATGAATGGCAGGCAGACACATTCTCAGAAATCCATTGAATAATCTTTAAAAAGTCAGACAGAACTCTGTTGGTATTTAAATCTGCTCTCTGCCTCCACTACCAAAGAAGTACAAATATACATGAATCTTTTGCATTCTATATCTATTTTGGAATGGCCTAAGAATACACTCACTTCTACACTATCTTCAAGATACATAATGCAATCCTGGGTAGAAAAACAGTATGTAAGTAAGATCCTTTTTATACATCTTTTTAATAAATGTCCTTAGCAGGGATCCAAATAAATGTTCTTCAACCTAATGCTTATATTAGAATAAGTCATGTTATAACAAAGCACTAGTGGAAAGAGCTGTGGGATACAGGGAAAAAAGGCAAAACAAAACCACTAGGCTTGGAAGCAGCAGAGCTGGGTGTGATTTCCAGCTGGGCCCTCCGTTGTGAATAGGAACACCAGTTAACCTTTGTGAGCATGGCTGTACTGCCTCCCGAGGGAGGGATAACCCCTGCTATACCATCAACTCTCTCATCTCCATAATCATCCTCACCTGCTAGAGGAATGTTTGACATCTCAGAACTGACAGATATTATAAGGTACGCCAAGCCATGGTGCATACTTGCACTTCTGCTACCACCAGTAAGCTGTTTTATTCAAAACCTATTTATGTTTTTGTACTTATTTTCAAAATTAGGTAATTTAATACAATATTACTATAGACAAGTAAAATATGGGTGCAGAGAGTATTCTTGGGTCAGTAAAAGTTGAATGCTTTGGAAAAACTCAAAGGCATGTCTCTAAAACACTAAAAAACTACGTCTAGGGGAAACAATTATAAAAGATTGTTTTTAAAAAATGCCTGATATACAGATTGCCTTGGAAGGGTCTTTAAATTACTATATCCTTAGAAATAAAAAATTTTTTAAAGTAACAGGAAGTTAGAGATAACTCATTACTAATGCTTTTATGCAAAAAAAAAAAAGATGTTGAACTTCAATTATCAGATGCCCAAAGAAAGGCTTGAGTCAAAACCTGAGTGAATAATGTGCATTTTTATGTTTTAGGTTAAAATAAAACATCTAATGTCTTTTTTAATTTTTTTGTAGTTAACCAGCTTCTCATTGATCTTAACCACATCTGATAAGGCAATTTCTCTGACTTCACAGCATAGCTGTAAAATAAAATAACACAGAATGTGCATGGAGGTACTTAATAAACTCTAATGTGAAATACAAATGTAAGTTTTCTTTACCAAAAATGTAATAAATATCTGCCACCAGATTTTAGTCCTTTCGATACTTATAGATCAAATGCAAATCAGAAGAAAAAGTAGATATTTAAGAAACTCATGATTTCCTGAGCTCTTCATTGGAATGTTACTGATACAGCTAAACATTTATTGCCAATACAGAAAAGGGAGTACCCAAAAGAACAGAAACACCCTGAGTCTGAGACCTGGTAGGGATCTGTTACAAAGCAGCACAAAAGAGGACGATGCTCAAGTCAGCAGAAAGGCCATACACTTCAACTGTTACTAAATAAAAATAACTCCTGACCATTTTCAACCACAAAATAAGTATGTTCAGTGCTGTCTATCTGGCCATTTTGAAACATGAACTATCTTCTCACCTGGCCTTCCAGCAACTGCGCGCCATGACCACAGGAGAGCGCACAGTGCAACGTGGCCATCTTCTCACAGTCTAAGCGGGTTTTCTGCAGGAGCTGTAATAAAGACGACTGGCTGAGCATCGCTCTATACAGCTTTCCAGAACAATAATCCAGTACCAGGGACCCTGACAGTGACTGTAAAGGGCTATGAGGTAGCATATCAATCATTTCATTATTTCCTGGCAAAGAAAAAAAAAAGTAGATCAGGAAATAAAGAAACTCCTTTCACCCAAACATAGATATTAAAGTCAAGACAAACTCAAATAGGCCACCTCTACAAGAGAAAAACTGCAGCCATACCTGTCAGAAAGAGATTGTGGCAGATCAAGTCTGGATGTTGAACATTAAGTAGGTGGAAGAAATGACCAGGTAAGTAAACACCCACATAATAGTCTATAGAAGAGAAAGATTAAAGTCATCTACATGTGGTAAGAGCTGCACATGTACAGAACGTCACATTATCTCTTTTTCTCTGAGTATCTCAAAAGACAAAGTTTTACCAGTGTAATAACAAGTTATCTAATGATAGTCCATTTCTTTTTTTTAACTTTTCTTTCTTTTCGAGACAGGGGTCCCACTCTGTCACCCAGGCTGGAGTGCAGTGGAGTGATCTCGGTTCACTGTAGCCTCAAACTCCTGGGCTCAAGTGATCCTCAGCCTCTCAAATAGCTGGAACTACAGGCATGCATCCACAACACCCCACTAATATATTTTATTTTTATAGAGCTGGAGTCTCACCATGTTGCCCAGGCTGGTCTTGAACTCCTGGGCTCAAGCAATCCTCCTGCCTCTGCCTCCAAAGTGCTGGGACTGCAGGCATAAGCCACCATGCCCAGCCACATTTCTCTTACTAGCCAAGCCTCATTTATTCCTATCTATGGCTAATTTTCTTCAGATATTTATCTATGGTTATCTTAATTTATACCTGCAGTTTTGTTTCTAAGTGATTTGTGGCTTTATATGAATCTAAATGATCTCAGAGCAAATTAGAATAAAAAACATCAAGTAACATGAATTACTCCTTAATCCGATAGGCTGGAAATAGCTTATATTAGGAATTTTCTTCATAATTTCTGCCAGTTTGGAGAAGCTCTAAAATTTGGTTACCCATGTTCATCTACTGATCATCATTGTCATCAGTAGAAGGAGCATGTTGTTTAGAGAACCTTTAAATTGATATTCATCAGAACAATCTCTGCAGACACACTGACACTTGGTGAAGTACTAATTTATTTCCTTGCATATCAAGCTGACTAGAATTCACACCTTCAGTCCCTGAACTAGATATTTTTGTACCAAGAACATTTGCACTCAGATGGAGACAAGGTATAAAAAATAGGTTTCTGGAGAATGGAAGGGTAGAAGTATCCCTTGCCAATACTTTTTCTAGGATCTTAAAAAACAGAAATTCACACAGTAGTAATTTTATATAGATGAGACATTTAGATTATAAGTGAGCCAGCTAGCCTCCTTTTCCTAAGAAGTAAAAGAACACATGCTAATCGTTTGCATAAAAGGCGTTCTGTGGAAAGAAAAGGAAAGAGGATATAAAACTCAAACCAGTTGACTTACAAGTGTCCTTTCAGTCAACATGGATTAAATGATGCTAAAGTGCTTAGCCCAAATGGTTGCAATCATCTTATTACGGCAACACTTTACTAGAAAAACACAAACAACAATATGGTGGGACATGGAAAGGGTGTCAGCATCAGATAACCTAGTTAACGCCTCACTGTACCACTTAACCAGTTAATTAGGATGGCACTATGTCCCTGGCAAGGTGGCATTTGGAAATACATGACAGTGATTTGGGTCGTCACTCAAATTAAGCGAGGGATGGGGAGATTCCTATTTGGCATTTGTTGAGTGGGCTCCAGGGATGGATGCTCAGGGTCTCAATGAGCAGGGAATTATTGTCTCACCAAAAGGGTCAATAGTATCTGTGGCAAGCTGAAAGACGGCACCTGAAGATATTCATGGGCTAATCCCCAGAGCCTGTGAACAGGGTAAGAGAGACCCTGCAGATGTGACTAGGATCTTGAGATGGGGAGACTATTCTGAAATATCCAGGCAGACCCAAGTAGGCACAAAAGTCCTTATGAGAGAGAGATTTGTCTAGAGAAGAGAAGACGACCATGCGATGAGGACACTAGTTGGAATGAAGTGGCCACAAGTCAAGAAATACTAGCCTCTAGTCAGGGATGTCCAACCTTTTGGCTTCTCTGAGCCACAATGGGAAGAAGAGAATTGTCTTAAGCCACACATAAAATACACTAATGACAGCTGATTAGCTTAAAAAAATTAATGTTCTAAAACAGTTTACAGATTTGTGTTGGGCCACATTCAAGGCCATATGCAGCTCATGGACCACAGGTTGGACAAGCTTGCTCTAGAGGCTGGAGGGAGGACACAGGGAACAAATTCTTCTCTGGAGCCTCCAGAAGGCACCAGTCCTGCCCACACTTTGGTTTAGCCCTTTCAAGACTCATTTCAAACTTCCAACTTTACAGAACTGAAAGAGAACATTTGTGGTGTTTGAAGCTCCAAGTTTGCAGTAATTTGTTACAGCAGCAATAATAAACTAATAAAGGATATGCTAACTAGCCAGATTTGATCATTCCACAATGTATATAGATATCAAAACACCATGTTTTACTCCATAAATATATACAATTACTATGTGTCACTTAAAAACAAAATAAGGTGGGTATTGCTTATTGACTGTGTGCAGTGGCTCATGCCTGTAATCCTAGCACTTTGGGAGACTGAGGCAGGTGGATCACCTGACATCAGGAATTCAAGACCAGCCTGGCCAACATGGCAATACCCTGTCTCCATGAAAACCACAAGAAATTAGCTGGGCATGGTGGCATATGCCTATAATGCTCCCAGCTACACAGAGACTGAGGTGGGGGAATAGTTTCATCCCAGGAGGCAGAGGTTGCAGTAAGCCAAGATCATACCACTGCCTCCAACCTGGGCGACAGAGAAAGATCCTGTCTCAAGCAAGCAAACAAACAAGTTTGCTAGGAAGATTTGATGAAAGAACTCTGTATAAATTTGTTATATTTTATTTGCTGACTTTTCTAATAAAGATTTTATATGGAGAAGAAAAGGTACTACACATAAGCAGAGGCTATAGGTGCAGTCATACACATGTAAAATAGATATTTTAATTCTTATAATTTCAAGAAAATACTTTAGTCACCCATATTTAGTTAAAACTTTAATGTTTTAAAACATTTAGACTGAAGCTTTATATTTTAAAAATATAAGACTACTGAATCAAAAAATGCTATAAGAGAAAAATCAAATTTTATGAATAAATATTTTTAAATTATATACTCTAGGATTGTACCACTGACAACACTAATTATCTTTTCTAGTTTGTGCAGTTATGTTGCATACCATTTGGGTGACTTACAGGATCATTTCACTTCATTTTCTCTCAGTTTATTCTGGATTGCATTAGAGAAAAATACTAAAACACCACCTCTAAACAAAATACTTGATGAAGTTTTAATTGAAATAAAATGCTAAGAAAACAAAATAACAAAATGTTTAAAGAAACTATTAATAATCTAGTGTCGCTGATAAAAGACACTGAAATAAGCCTGGGCACACAGCTCACTCTGAGCCTCCATATCATTATCTGTAAAATGGGGATAACATCACCAATCAGAATTGCTGTAGGGAGCAAAATAACAAGTAAAATATACTTAACATATAGTATGCATTAGATAAATAGTAGCTTATTTATAAACGTATCTTTTAATCAAAGTGCTTGGGGTTCATGAAAAAAATCAAAAACTTTTTCTTTAATATTTTAATCAATATAAGCCCATTTTAATAGGATGACAGTCTATGGAAATTGCATGTAATTAATATCAAAAAATATATTACTCAAAAAGCAATATTGTTATCATAAAAACTACCTGTAGAACAGCTTTAAACCGGGGTATGATTTTGTGCCTATAAAATATGCTTAAGAAGGAAAGACAACCTATGTAAGACAGCCTATTTTTACAAAGCTTGTATTGCTGGCCTCTCCACATGCTGAAGACCACAAATTAAATCTTTCCTGCCCTTTGCAAGTCATTCCCAGGGATAAAAAAAAAAGGCAGGATACCTTTGCCCTCACAAAACACTGTTTTCCTAGTGGAAAGTTTCCCATCTCACTCTTGAGATGGGATGTTGATAAAGCATTGCTGATAAGAATCAAGTCCCAGACCCAGGAAACATTCTATATTTCTCTCTCTTATCACAGGAAGCAGTGGAACCAAGCTTCCCTAAAGCTATTTCCCACAGATTCAGAGATCATGTTAAAATTTGCCCATTACTAGCCCACTCAGCATTAAGTATCCAACGTCATCAATAGTATCATTCAAAATAAAAATCACTTTGCTCAGTTTCCTCACATTGTACTCTCCCAAACCTGGGTCATGACAGTGGATGGACTACGGAATAGGGATGGAAAAAGATATCAAAGAATTATGTGCTCTAAACCCAAAGCTCCTTTTTTAAAGGAAATGTTCCATATACCATGTCCCATATGTAAGCAAGTAAACAATTACTTAGTTTTGTGCTAAACTGTTTGTGCCCCACATCCCAACTGGCATGGAAAAGCAGCTTTCAGAGGGGAGATACAAAAAAACCCTTTCTTTATTTTCTTCATTATCCTCAGATTCCTTTCGCCATATTTACTGAATGAAAACAACTCACTCAAGCTGATCCATAAATCATTAATGGGATTTGTAAGCTTTTCAAGATTAGCGACAAGAAACAGACAATTTCCCAGAGGCCCCTGTCCTCTCTATAATCAAGGGACAACATGATATATTATTTCTCATGGGCTATTCGGGAATATCTCATACAAGTCATTTTTATGCTGACAAGTGACTTTTTAGACTGCTACCAAAAACATAAGAAAGCTCATAGCCTAGGTTCTCTAAAAAGGGAAGACACCTCCGCCAATCCTTTCAAGCCAAAGACTAAGGAGTTCAGAGGGAGGGGTATGTTCCAGAGAAAATCTTTTCTGGTAAGACTTCAAGTGGGTCATTGGTTGTCATTACAATCCAAGTCTCAAAGAGGCATGAGAAATGGGATAGCATAGAAGGCTGAGGTATACCATGCCCTGGAAGAAGGGTTCAGAGCAGGGGGTGTGATCTCTCCATCACTCACCAAGGTTGAGAAAAGTTATGCCCTTTGTCATGTGTGAGCCAACATTCTTGAGAGAAGTGGTAAAGGTCTTGCTATATCCTGCAAAGAGAGAACATGAAGCCAGAGAATGTTAAACAAATAACTGAAACTCCACCCAAGGCAGTGACTATGTAACACTCCATAAATTTTCAGTGACCATGAAACTGGTAAGCAGGCATCTTCTGACTTCTAGATTTCATGGTTCCCCTCATTCTCCAAAAACCAGCATTGAAGGCAGATCATCTGAGTGCAGTCACACTCCAGTAGCTGTTCTGGGCTTATTATAATCTTAGATCATGACAGGTGAATTGTTCAGGAAGCAGAGGACCTGAAGGAATTTACCTAACAATCCAAGAGATAGAAATGACCAGATGGCTCATTGACCATCATTCCTCAAGGCTCACTGTCACACACATGCAGTCATTAAGACCCTCTGAGACTTCTCCAAATCATTTACAAATCCCACTTTTAGGTAGGAAGGGAATTCGTCGAGCTAATAACCTCAGTGTATTGGGCTTTCCTCTCTACTTTTCTAACTCTTACTCTTCAGAAAAGTTTTATTTTACTTATTGGCTTTGATCACAAGATTAACCATTAGAAAAATGCATAAAAATTTTCCACAAAAACCTCAAACTTAGACAACTTAAGTATGAGTAGTACATATGTTAGTTCTAAAGTTACTTTAAAACTTTTTTACCTGGATCTCTAAGCTCGGGAGGCAATATTAGGTCCATCTATAGAATAAGCAGCTCTGATATGGCTTGGCATTTTTTTAATATTGAAAATTTTTCATCTTAAAAATATTTAAATACACCCACAGTATGTACTACACACACTCACTTTAAGTTACTAAACAAACAAAACAACTACTCCTTAGCATTGTTCAAACTAAAACTATTACAGGGCACACTGTGATCAACTACAGAATCAGGAGATATTAGGCATCTGACTGCTGCTCTGCAGACTGTTATCAGTATCTTGGGCTATAGATTGTGTGAAATGGAATAAATGTATCTTAGATAAAACCTGTTGAGGTCTGAGATCATGGACACCTTTAACTAAAACCGTATGTAACTCTGTAAGTTAAATCTATAGCTACTTTCCAATAAGCAATAACTAAAGAGAAAACACACTTTTGGCAAATACCTCCCTTAGGATTGGTCCACAAGCTTAGAAAAAGATATAGGCCAGGATAAAAATATATGATATATAAAAATAACTAGCTAACTTGATATCCACCATTGGTGACTTTCTTTAGGAAACATGTATCCTGTAAGTATACAGGTATAGAATGAATTGATAAAAATTGACTACAAGGTAATAACACTCTCAGCTGGGCATGGTGGCTCATGTCTGTAATCACCACACTTTAGGAAGCTGAGGCAGGTGGATCACTTGAGCTCAGAAGTTCAAGACCAGCCTGGGAAACATGGTGAAACCCCATTTCTACAAAAAGTACAAAAATTAGCTAGGCATGATGGTACATGCCTGTAGTCCCAGCTACTTCATGGGCTGAGGAGGGAGGATCACCTGAAACCTTGAGGTCAAGGGTGCAGTGAGCAGTGTTCATGCCACAACATTCCAGCCTGGGTGACAAAGAAAGACCTTGTCTCCAAAAAATTACTAGTAACATCACTGTTAAGAGCTATCTAACTTGCTATTCGGAAAAAGTTATTATGTAAAAGTAACAAAGAAGACATGAAAAGTACCTTTGTGAATGTAAAACACTGAATACGTGATTTGTTCCCAAGCAGCACACTTCGGACTGTAACAAACACACAAACTTCCTAGAAGAAAAGGTATTTAGTAGAGTTTAACAGAATCTATGTCACAAATAGTTTCCTAAACCACTTAGCCTTACCTCTGTCCTTTAGATGTCCTGCCTCGTCCTACCTCATAGATTATTCCCAAATCCTAGAAGTGGTCTATCAACAAGTTGCTAAGAAATTTCAAAGCAGTAATTCTTTAGTGCACACTATAAGCAATGTATTGTGGCAGGCTATTGAAGGATAGGAAAATGAACAGAGATACACTCCTGCATATATGAAATCATAGGATTCTAGACAGTTTCCAAAGCTTCATGAGATTCTCCTGGTATGCATGTATCGTCCTGCCTTCTTATCTAGCTTGTCACCTTCAATTACTAACAGCTATGAACACCAGTGTATCAAAAATGTGTTCTATTCACAGAAAGTTTCCAGTCTCTAGTTTAGCTTGATTGAAAGGCAAAGTATGATCTATATTATGGGTCAGTGAGAACAAATGTGGTGAGTCCATATCCATCCATTATTGAGTCACTGAAGGCACTGGCCCCAGGCCAAAGGAGAGCCCTTGGCATAGAGTGGCTTTCCAGGTGAGTCTTGACCCCCTTCACTTACTCCATCACTCTGGAACACCCTCAGCCTTCCCTACCTCTCTCAATGTGTGAAACTGTACATTATCTCTAGCAGCTGCTGCTGTATGGATAGACTAATGTCCATCAGTGACCTACATATAAATGAGGGACATTATGCTTAAACAGATATGTCTATTCTAATGCATTTATGTGATTAACTGAAATAGGAGATTGTCAGGTAGAAAGTAACTTGACAAGGAGTCAGGAAACCTGAGCTCTAGTCCAAGAGCTAATGTTAACTAGCTGTGTGAATTCAATTGCCACTATACTTCAGTGGATTTCAACATTTCCTCTACTTTACTCCAGTAACTTCTTTATCAAAGAATCATGGTAGAAAAAAAGAAGTCAACTTCCCCTAAGAGGGCTATTCAAGGACATTTATAAGCATTCTGTTGTAATACTTATCAATTGTGACTATTTTTAATGACATTTAATACTGCAATATATTGCCATCAGTACATTTTATTGCAATATCCTAAACACAAAACAGCAGAAAAGAATAACTTCATCAGATAACATGTTAACAATTCTATCAGATGTAAAATGACTGTTATGGTTACTGAGCACACAATAACAACTTTTCTTTACAATTACAGCTGGCTCATTGAGAATAAAAGTAATCTATCACTAAACCATAAACAAAATAGTAAGAGTTACAAAAGTCTCATATACCATTTGGACTGGTTTCATACAGTAAACATTATCTGCAAAAAACTACTGGTTTATCCATTCTGTTATGTACTATAATCACAAGGAACATGAATTGTTTTTAAAAGAGACAGACTTTAGAGTCTCTAGCGATAAATAAAAGTTAAAACAAAGCACCATAATTTTCCTTTATAAGTAGTTTTTTAAATAATGAGTACTGTCAAGGGAACATGTTCTTCTTACGCAATTCTCAAATAGTAGTGATTAAGTGAACTAATTTCACAGAGGGTTAAATATATTCATACTTATTCATCCACTAATTCTTTTAGGATTTTTATCCTGGGAAATAAACATGACAACAACATAGATTATAACCTCCATTCTAGCAAATTATCTGCACATCATCCTTCAGAGAATAAAAGTTGTTTTTTCTCATTTTGAAAACAGTGAGATGTAGAATAAATGTACCTAATTACATATTCTAAGAACCATATCCAGAACTTATAAGCAAGTATTTCCAAATTGTTAGGTTATGCTTAGTTGCCCCACCCAAACCCCAAAGGGAAAAAAAGACACAGCAAGGTGAAATGGTATGTACATAGGCTTTCTGAAGCTACCCAAAATAACTTTCTTTGACAATGGAAATGTTCTATGCCTGTAAAGTCCAATATGGTGGCAACTAGCCACATACAGTTACTGAACACTCAAAATATAGATAGTATGACTGACATACTATTTATTTGAGACAGTGTCTCTCTCTGTTGTCCAGGCTGGAGTTCAGTGGTGCAGATACAGCTCACTGCACCCTTGATGTCCCAGGCTCAAGCAATCCTCCCATCTCAGCCTTCCAAATAGCTGGGACCACGGTCGTGCGTCACCTTGCCTGGCTAATTTTTTAATTTTATTTTTTTTAGAGATGGAGTCTCACTGTGTTGCTCAGGGTGGTCTTGAATTCCTGGGCTCAAGTGATCTTTCTACTTTGGCCTCCCAAAAAGCTGGTATTACGGGTTTTTTAAATTTTAGATTCAGGGGTATGTGTGAAGGCTTGTTATATAGATAAACTCATTATCACAGGGGTTTATATATTTATTTTTATTTATTTATTTTTTGAGATAGAATCTTGCTCTGTCCCCAGTCTGGAGTGCAGTAGCGCAATCTCAGCTCACTGCAACCTTTGCCTCCCGAGTAAGCTGGGACTACAGGCATGTGCCACCACGCCCAGCTAATTTTGTATTTTTAGTAGAGATGGGGTTTCACCATGTTGGCCAGGCTGCTCTCAAACTCCAGATCTCAGGTGATCCACTCACCTTGGCCTCCCAAAGTGCTGGGATTACAGGCATGAGGCACCGCACCTGGCCCACAGGGGTTTATTTTTACAGATACTTTCATCATCCAGGAATTAAGCCTGATACCCGATAGTTATTTTTCTGCTCCACTTCCTCCTCCCACCCTCCATCCTCAAGAAGATCCCAGTGTTTGTTGTTCCCTTGTGTTCTTAAGTTCTCAACACTTAGCTCCTACTTTTAAGTGAGAACATGAGATAATTCATCGTTCCTGCATTAGTTTGCTAAGGATAACAGCTTCTACTCCATATGTGTTCCCACAAAAGACATGATCTCACTCCTTTTTATGGCTGCACAGTATTCCATGGTGTATATTTACATTTTCTTTATCCAACCTGTCACTGATGGGCATTTAGGTTGATTCCACATCTTTGCTATTGTGAGTCATGCTGCAATGGACATTTGTGTGCATATGTCTTTATGGTAGAATGATTTTTATTCCTCTAGGTATAGACCCTGTAATCAGCTTGCTGGGCCCAATGGTAGTTCTGCTGTTAGCCTTTGAGGAATCTCCATACTGCTTTCCACAATGGCTGAACTAATTTAAACTCCCATCGAAAGTGTATGTCTTCCCTTTTCTCTGCAACCTTGCCAGCATCTGGTTTTTTTTCTTTTTACTTTAATAATAGCCATTATGACTGGTATAAGATGGTATCTCACTGTGGTTTCAATTTGTATTTCTCTAATCCTCAGTGATGTTGAGTTTTTCATATGCTTGCTAACTGAATGTCTTCTTTTGTAAAGTGTCTGTCTGTTCATGCCCTTTGCCCACTTTTTAATGGAGTTGTTTTTGTCTTATAATGTAAGTATACCTTGCAGATGCTTGATATGCCTTTGTCAGATGCATAGTTTGCAATTATTTTCTCCCAATTCTGTAGGTCATTTGGTTTACTCTATTTAGTTTGTTTTGCTGTGCAGAAGCTCTCAAGTTTAATTAGATCCCATTTGTCAGTTTTTCCTTCTGTTGGGATTACTTTTGATGTCTTTGTTATGAAATCTTTGCCCATTCCTATGTCTAGGATGGTATTGCCTAGGTTTTCTTCCAGAATTTCTATGAATTTTTGGTTTTACATTTTAGTCTTTAATCCATCTTGAGTTGATTTTTGTGTATGCTGTAAGGAAGGGGTCCAGTTTCAATTTTCTGCACATGGCTAGCCAGTTATCCCATTCCTATTTATTGAATAGTGAATCTTTTCCCCATTGCTTTTGTCAGCTTTGTTGAAGATCAGGTATTCACAGGTGTGCATCCTTATTTTTGAGTTCTCTGTTCTATTGGTCTATGTGCCTGTTTCTGTACCAGTATCAGACTGTTTTGGTTACTGTAGTTCTGCAGTATAGTTTGAAGTTGAGTAAAGTGATACCTCCAGCTTTGTTCTTTTTGCTTAGGACTGCCTTGGCTACTCAGGCTTTTTTGGTTCCATATGAATTTTAAGATAGTTTTTTCTAGTTCTGTGAAAAATGTTGTTGGTAGTTTGATAGGAATAGCATTCAATCTGTAAATTGCTTTGGGCAGTATAGCTATTTTAATGATACTGATTCTTCCTATCCATGAGCATGTTTTTCCATTTGTTTTTATCTTCTGATTTCTTTGACCACTGTTTTGTAATTCTCATTGTAGAAATCTTTCACTTCCCCTCCCTGGTTAGCTGTATTCCTAGGTATTTTATTCTTTCTGTGGCAATTGTAAATGGGATTACCTTTCTGATTTGGCTCTTGACTTGGCTCTTATTGGTGTAAAGAAATGCTAGTGCTTTCTGTATACTGATTTTGTATCCTGAAAATTTGCTGATGTTATCAGTTGAAGGAGCTTCTGGGCTGAGACTGGAGTTTTCTATAGAATCATGTTATCTGCAAACAGGGATAGAATGACTTCCTCTTTCCCTATTTGGGATGCTCTTTCTCTTGCCTAATTGTTCTGGCTAGGACTTCCAATACTGTATTGGATAGGAGTGGTAAGAGATAGCATCCTTGCCTTGTGCCAGTTTTCAAGGGAAATATTACCAGTTTTTGCCCATTCAGTATGATGTTGACTGTGGGTTTGTCGTAGATGACTCTTATTATTTTGAAGTTTTCCTTCAATATCTAGTATATTTAGAGTTTTTAACATCAAGGGGTATTGAGTTTGATCAAAAGCCTTTTCTGCATCTATTGAGATAAACATGTGGTTTTTGTCTTTAATTCTGTTTATGTGATACATCACATTTATTGATTTGCATTATGTTGAACCAACCTTCTATCCCAGGGATGAAGTCTACTTGATTGTGGTAGATTAGCTTTTTGACATGCTATTGGATTTGATTTCCATGTATTTTGGTGATTTTTTCATCAATGTTCATCAAGAATACTGGCCTGAAGTTTTCTTTAGTTCCTATGTCTCTGACAGGTTTTTAATATCAAGATG